CGCATCAATTCTTCTACGGTCTTCCTTATTCATTGTCCAACTTTTGCATGCATATGAAGCTATTGAAAATACCATGTCTTGGGTCAGGTGCATCTTAGTCCTCAAACTGACATCTTTGTTCTTCAACACTTTAAAGAGGTCTTGTGAAGCAGATCTGTTCAATGTAATACATGGTTTGATTTCTTGAGTGCTGCTTCCATGAGTGTTGATAGTGGGATCCAAGCAAAATGAAGCCTTTGACAACTTCAATCTTTTCTTCATTTATCATGGTTCTATTTTTTGGTCCAGTGGTGAAAATGTTAGTTTTCTTTACATTGAGGTGCAACCCATACCAAAGACTAGTCTTTGTTCTTCATCAATATATTTTAAGTCCTCTTTGCAAGCAAGGTTGTATCATCTGCATATCACAAGTTGTTAATGAGTCTTTCTCCAATCCTGATGCCACATTCTTCTTCATATAATCCAGATTTTTTGGTTATTTGTTCAGCATACAAATTGAATAAATTTGGTGAAAGAACACAGCCTTGGCACATGCCTTTCCTGATTTTAAATCATCCAGTGTCCCTTGTACAGATTCTCCCCTTGTACGTAAGCATAATAAGTGGTCCAGAATACTCATTCTCCACAATGTTGTCCATAACTTGTCATAATCCACACAATCGAAAGCCTTTTTGTAGTCAATAAAGCACAGATAAACATCTTCCTGGTAGTCTCTGTATTCAGCTAACTGTGCCATTTTACAATCTTGCCATCTATGAAGGAGGGATCTGATTTCTCCACAACATCATCAACATTTGCTGTTTTCCATTTTTCAGAACATAACCATTCTAGTGGGAAGTGAAGTGACAGCCCAGTGTTGTTTTGACTTAAGTTTCCCTAATGATAGAATACTGAGCAATTTGTTATGTGCTTATTTGCCATTTGTAGATCTTCTTTGGTGAAATACGTATTCAAAACACTTAATTCTTCAATAACTTTGTTGTGGGTTGCAAAAGATATATTCAAGTCCAAACCCGTAAATACACATAAATATGACCCTGTTTGGAAATAGGATTTTTGAAGATTTCTGAATTAGGTTAATATGACATCATACTGCCATACGTTGGATCCTAATCCCATTTTATAGTATTTTATAAAAGAGATGGAATCCCTGGAGTGTCACTGTAGGGATCAGCTACTGAGCTGCTAACTGCAAGGTCAATGGTTCAAACCCACCAGTCACTCCTCAGAAGTCGTATACAGGGTCTTTATGAGCCAAAACCAACTCGATGGCACTTAACAGTAACAACACAAAAGAGAAGAGACGCAGAATTTAGAGCAATGCATCTGCAAGCCAAGAAACGCCCAGAAACTAGAAGTAAGGAAAGATTTTTTTCCTAGCCCCTTGAGGGAGCAAGGCCCTGATGATACCTGGATTTCAGGCTTCCAGCTTCCAGCACTTTAAGATAATATATTTCTGTTGTGTTAGGCTGCCCAGTTTGTGGTACTTTGTTAAGGCAGTATTGGGACACAACTTTGAAACTATCGTCCTTTGGGATAATCCTGCACTGTGGGGGGCTGTCCTGTGCCCTGTAGGATATTTAATGACATCCCTGGCCTCTACCCACTAATGCCAGTTGTATCACTGCCCCCACTGGTTATGGTAATGAAACAGCAAAGTTGTCTTGTGGTTGTTGTTGTTGTTGTTAAGTGCTGTTGAGTCAGTCTCAACTTATAGCTACCCTGTTTCCAAGGAGTGGCTGGTGGGTTTGAACTGCCAACCTTGTAGTTCAAACTGACCTTGTGGTTCAGTGCTTATCCTACAGTGCTATACCAGTGTCTCCTGGGGGAAATATCATCCCTCCTTGAGAACCCTCTATGCTGTACAATTTACTTTGTGTGTGTTTATAAGATCTTTTTAATTGTAAAAAAAAATATATATATATATGATAACATTTGTCAGTTACCATATTCATGTTGACAATTCAATAGTGCCTATTATATTATTCATATTGACCATCACCAATTTTTTGTTGCAAATTTCCATCACCAGAAGCAGAATCTCAATACATATTCGAAACACTTAATTCTTGAATAATTTCCTGTTTCCCCCCAATTAACTTTTATTTTTATTATGGTCTCTGTTTAATGCAAATCTTCCCTCACCTCCCCCAAATCTCAGCATGTCAGCTTCAAGAAGAAAAGAATGTATTCTGTTCACTGATATGCCTAGGTCAGTGCCTGGCACATAGGAAGTGTTCAGTAAACATTTGCTGAAAGTATGAGTCAACATCTAGTATTGTTTATGTGCCTAGGATGGTCTGAAGGCTTGACATACATTACCCTGTTTCATTATAACAACACTTTGAGGAAGGCCCTGTCACTGCCCCCCCTTCACAGAGGAGAAAACTGAGGCTTCAAGAAGCTATACGCATGCCTGAGTGTCTCTCCTCCTCATCCCCTACCCACTGACCACCATCCCAACAAACATCTCTTTCCTCCCTTGGGACAAACAAGGTCGGGAATTGAGTCAGGTTCAGACACTGCCTCTGGTGGGCACCTGCAAAGGGGGTGGGAGTTAAGAAAGGAAGCTGAACTGGCCTGCGAAGCTGACCTTAGGAGACTTTCCGGAAACCAATAGGAGCCAGAAATTGGCTGGGTGCCCCATGACCTTGCTGAGAGGGAGCCCATCCCTGAACTATAAGAGATGGGGACCGAGGTTCAAAGTGAAACCCCTAGCCCCAACCTAGGGAATGTGGCCACAGGTACCCAGCCAGGGAGGCTACAACTATCACCCCACCAAAACCCAGCTGGAACCAGCCCTGCAATTGGTCACTGGTCCGTGGTACCAGGAACTGAGACTGAGCAGATAGGAAGGCAGGAAGGGAAAGTGGGCGGAGTAGGGTGAGGACTAATTTATGACTATGCCCAGTACTGGGTACCCACATTGCCATGGACAACTCGGGGTACAGCAAGTGGAGCAGCAGGTCTGCAGATGTCCCTGGAGGTATGGGTGATGGAACTGTCTCTCAGTTCCTTCTCAGAGACCCTCTCTGATCCAATGGCCAGGGGTTTAATAAGGGAGGGGAGGACAAGCCAATAGAGGATTACCATAGTAGGTGCAGGAGAGTCACCACAGACTCTAAACCCAGGTGGACCTGAGTCCAAATTCCAACTAAACCATTTAGAGGCTGACCCTCTCTGAAACGCAATTTCCTGGGACTGGCTGTTTCCAGGGTTCAGTCCAGGGGACTCCAGGATTCCAGGATCGTCCTGGTGCAAGAGACCCAGGAGTTCACTTGTGTCCCCCAGGGCACTGGGGACGCTGGGAGTGCGAGGGACGGACGTCCTTCTTGGTGGCATTGGCTGTATTGGTCGCTGCAGTCCTGTGGGCCATCATTCTGAGCATCCTATTGTCCCATGGTAAGTGTCTGTGGACACAGACGTGTCCTAGTCCAGCTAGGTTACAGAGGGTTGCCTGGGAATGAGTGTGAGTACCTGGGAGCTCGCGTAGATCTTCATGTTGTGTGAGCGAGTTCCCCTGTGGACATCTGTGGTGTGTTTTCAGGCAGGCATGCACTGAATGCCTGCCTTCCCCCTCCCCCCGGGCGTCCCAAGACCAGGGTCCCCACACTCCCAAGGGGTCCCCTGGCAGCGCCTGCAATACTTCCTTCCGCAGCCTCCAAGGAACGAGAGGAACTACTGGACCACCAGGACCTGCTGAGAACAAACGGTGCGTGCGATTCGGTGGTACCAGGGTAGGGTTGGGGATTCCACGAGTTTGGAAGATTGCCCAGTGAATCCTCGCGGGTGACGCGTGTTCGTGTGTGTGTGTATGTGTGTTCCAGCCTCGAAGCAGGCGGCGGCGCTGGACATTCAGGAGAAGGAGCTCGGAGCCTGCAGGACTTGTTGTGAGCAGAAGCGGGTTCGAGGCTTGTGGTTTAAGGGAGTGTGACTTGAGGCTTTGATTGGAGGAAGCGGGTAGGGGTGGGGTTCGTGGACTCCACGGGTCTCGTGACATGGGGGGAGGGGGCTGCTCTCAGAGACCTCGCCCTCTTGCTCCTCTCCCCACTTTCTCAGGTTCCGAGACGCAAGCGCAGCTGCAGACCTCACAGGCGAAGCTTAAGGAGGCGCAGCAGAAACTGCTGGAGCAGGGGAGCACCCTGAATGAACTGCGCGAAAGCGGTGAGGGCGGGCAGTGACCATTACCTCAGATCCCTGACTGAGAACTGACCTGACCCTCAGTTCACATCCTGATCTCACAGCGACTCTGTTCGACCCCACACTGTGGGCCTGACCTTGACCGCTGGGATCTGACCTTGACCATGATTCCCAACCACACACAAAACTGGACCCTACCCAGCTCTAATCGTTCTTGGCTCCAGTGTCATTGTTGATCCTGGCGCTGACTCCGACATTGACTTCTGACATGGGTCTGCTCACACCCCTCCCCCTATTTATCATCTCCATTTCCCTGGCCCACAGTGACCAAGGACTTGGCTCAGGCGCGCAGGAATCGCGAAGACTTCCGCAACCAGCTGCTTCGGGCGTTGGAGGCCGCCAACCTTGGGAACAGTGAGCGCTGTAGGGGGACAGACTCGGGGTCCCCTGATGTGCCTCACCTCTTTGACCTCGGTCAAGATTCTCTGACACTGGCCCTGGTTCCGGATTCCATCTCACCCGTTCTCTGTGTCTGTCCCACCAGAGAGCGGACTGGCCATTCTTGACTCCTGTTTAATCCTTGCAGATTCCTGTGAACCGTGCCCCACGTCGTGGATGCCCTTCGCGGGCTCCTGTTACCTTTTCTCACAGAAGCGGGGCAAGTGGCAAGAGGCACAGAAGAGCTGCGCAGACTCCGGCGCGCACCTGGTGATCGTGGGGGGCCTGGAGGAGCAGGTGCGCCTCGGGTCAGGGGATGCGCCGGCGCACCTGTGGGGCGGGAGCGGAGCGGAAGGCTGGGCTAGACGGGCTCCTCCCTCCCTCCAGCGTCATCACTAGGGGAGGTGGGGCTGAGAGGTGAGAATACCCAAAGGACTCAAATGTCCACTGCCTCATTTCCGAAGACTCCTTCCTATGCCCAACCCCAGACATTACCTGCCAGCAGGAAGAGAGCAGGCAGGGTCCTGGCCGGGGGTTTTTAACTATTGGACAAAGAGGAGGGTCTCTAAACTGGCTAATGGGAGAGAGGAGATGCTGTGGGGAGCAAAGGGGGGGGGGGGAGGCAGGAGGAGTCCACCGGCCTGTCCACATGTGGGGATGACACCTGTACCTACTGCTCAGACCTTCCTGAGTCGGAACACAAGTGGGCGCAACTTCTGGCTGGGTCTGAGTGCAGTGCGAAGTAAGAACAAGATCCAGAGCTATCAATGGATGGATGGTGTCCAGCTCACCTTCAGGTGAGCTCCAGGAGACTCGCAGAGGCCAGCCAGGAATGCTTTAGGTAGATCTCAAGGACTTATTTGCTCAGGCTAGATCCTTAGGGAAGCTCAGGCTAGACCCGAGGAAGTGGCTGAAAAAAAGTATACCCCAAGTTCGACTCTCGGGGATGCTAGGTTAGACACAAGAACTGCTCCTAAAGGGACTAAATGCTGGGTAGGAGGGAGAGGCCCCAGGCCCACCCTTACAACACCTTCGCAACCACTGCAGCCACTGGAACGAAGGGGAGCCCAATGACTGGTGGGGGAAAGAAAACTGCATCGTGATGCTGCCAACAGGACTGTGGAATGATGCAACCTGCTCCGTGATGTATAACTGGATCTGCGAGAAGAGGCACCGATGCTGACCCCTCCCCCTTGCACTCGGTACCCATGCCCACCGCAACCTTGATCCCACCCCCACCCTAGGGCCTCAGAGCCTCGCCCACCACCATCAATTTCCCCACCCACCCCAACTCAGCCCGCTCCAGTACCGGTGCTCCACTGAACCTCACCGTAACTCCTCAGCAGCGGTTCAGTGTGTTTCCTCCGACTCCCAAATCCTGTTTCTAGCACAGGGTTAAAGATCTGGGTGATCTGACCCCACCTCCTTCTAGCCACGTTCAGGCTGTATGTTGTCCTTGTATCTCATCCTACACTGGGTGGTCTTCCTAGCACAGGAAGTATCAATAAACGTTTGATAAATGAATCCTGGCTCTTGGATGGGAGGAGTTGTTGTAAGCAAGTAACCCTGACCTCTCTAAGCGACCTCATGTCCTTATAATGTCCCAAATCCAGTGGAGTCCATGAAGGGTGAAATGGTGAATGGCTTATCTGCTAATGAAACGATTGGTAGTTCAAATCCATGCCGAGGCATATTGGAAGACAGGTCTGGTGACATACTTCTAAAAAATCAGTCATTGAAAACACTATAGACACACATTTGTTGTTAAGTGACATAAAGTCTATTCCAACTCATAATGAACCTGTATAGGATTTCCAAGGAGCGGCTGGTGAATTTGACCCACTAACCTTTCAGTTCAATCTGACCTTGTAGTCCAGTGTATTATCCCACAGTGTCACACCAATAGACACAAATAAGGGCACTATTATGAGACACATAAAGGTACTATGAGTCAGAGTCAACTAGAGAACCTCCCTTCACAGGAAAACAATGTCCGTTTCTTTGGCATCCCCTTCTACCTCAAGGTCGCAAGATGGCTGCTACAGTTCCTAGCATCACATCCTTGTCTAACTGTCTTCACAAACAAACGGGAATGCCTCCTGAATAATCTGTTTTGGTTTCATTTTTATTGTGGTAAATACCTGTGTAACTAAATATTTGTCATTTCAATAATCTTAACATATAAAATCTGGTGATAAAATTATGTTTCTCATGCTATTCAACTATCACCTGTTGCCAAGTTTTTCCATCATTATAGGGACTTTCGGTCTGAATTCACCCACCATCCCAAAGTTTCCTGCTCCCATTCTGGGGATTCTCCAAAAATTCCCAACAGAGACAGGTCTAGCTGAAGGAAATGACTTAGGTCATCAGCAGGGCTGAATCTAGAGAGGATAGCAGTTCAAATCCAGCAGTCACTCCTTGGAAACCCTGTACAGGGTTGCTATGAGTCAGAACCAACTCGATGGCATTTAATAAATAATTATATACATACACATATGGAGTTCTGGTGTGGTGCTATAGGATAAGGACTGGAACCACTAGTTAGTTCAAACCCACCAGCCTCTCCTTAGAAATCTTATACAGGGTCTCTGTGAGTCAGGTCCCACTCAATGGCACTTAACAACAACATATATATATATGTTGTTGTTAAGTGCCGTTGAGTCAATTCCAACCCATAGCAACCCTGTATAGGGTTTCCAAGGAGCAGCTGGTGAGCTTGAACTGCTGATCTTGCAGTTCAAATGACTTTGCAGTCTGACGTATTAACCCACAGCGCTACACCAGGATATATATATAATATATATATTTATTATTTATATATATATATATCTTTCATGGGGCTAGCTACTCTAAATAACCCAGCCTAAGACAGATGCCCTCAGAATCACAGCAACTCAAACCACCACAGCACGACAGACAGACGAGTGGTGGCCTTTTGGTTTTATGTCTATACTGTCTCTTTAAATTTCAATGTCAATCTTGATACAATCCTGATATAATCAAGATACATATAAGATATAATCAAGATACAATCAAGATTATTGATGCCTTTGAGTTGTGGTGTTGGAGGAGAATACTGAGGGTGCCATGGACTGCCAAAAGAACCAATAGATCTGTTTTGGAAGAAGTGCAGCCAGAGTGCTCCTTGGAGGCTAGGATGGCTAAGCTTCGTCTCTCCTACTTTGGACATGTAGTCCGGAGGAAACAATTGTTAGAGAAGGATGTCATGCTGGGTAGGGTGGAGGGTCAGAGAAAAAGAGGAAGACCTCCAATGAGATGGATCGGCCAGGTGGCATCATTGATGGACTCGGGAGTGGCAGCGGTGGTGAGGTTGGCCCAGGATCGAGCATTGTTTCGTTCTGCTGTGCATGGGGTCGCTATGAGTCGGTTCCGACTCGATGGCACCTGACAACAACAACAACAACAAAGACAGATGCAGCCCAATGTAAAGAAAACAGAAATCCTCACCACTGGACCAATAAACAACATTCTTATCAATGGAGAAAAGATTGAAGTTGTCAAGGACTTCATTCTTCTTGAATCAACTATTAACACTCACAGAAGCAGCAGTCAAGAAATCAAACGACGTATTGCATTAGGCAAATCTGCTACAGAAGACCTTTTTAAAGTATTGAAGAGCAAAGATGTCAGCTTGAGGACTAAGGTGTGCCTCACACAAACCATGGCATTTTCAATAACCTCATATGCATGCGAAAGCTGGACAGTGAATAAGGAAGACCATAGAAGAATTGATGCATTTGAGTTATGGTGTTGGAGAAGAATATTGAAAGTGCCATGGACTGCCAAAAGAACCAGCAGATCCATTTTGGAAGAAGTGCGGCCAGAGTGCTCCTTAGAGGCCAAGATGGCCAAACTTCATCTCTCATATTTCAGACATATTTTCAGGAGGGACCAGTCACTGGAGAAGGATATCATGTTTGGTAAGGTGGAAGGTCAGAGAAAAGGAAGAAAACCCCCAACGAGATGCATTGGCCAAGTGGCAGCATTGATGGACTCAAGCATGGCAACATTAGTGAGGTTGGCCCAGCATCGGGCAGTGTTTCGTTCTGCTGTGCATAAGGTTGTTATGAATCGGTACCAACTCGATGGCACCTAACAACAACAACCAACTTCTTCAGTCTAAAATTGATCAAATATGCAATCAAGATGTATTGATCATTATTAGTGATTGGAATATGAAGTTTGGAAACAAAGTGTAAGGATCAGTAGTTGGAAAATATGGCCTTGGTGATAGAAATGATGCTAGAGATCACATAATAAAATTTTGCAAGACCAGTGACTTCTTCATTGCAGATAGCTTTTTTAAACATAAAAGTCGATTATACACATAGACCTTCCCAGATGGAAAACACAGGAATCAGATTGACTATATCTGTGGAAAGAAACATTGGTAAAGCTCCATATCAGCAGTGAAAACAAGGCAAGCTGTGGAACAGACCACCGATTGTTCATATGCAAGTTCAGGCTGAAACTGAAGAAAATTAAAAGTAAGTTCACAAAAGTCAAAATATGGAGAGAACAAACAAGATGGTGGAGAGGGTAGAAGTGCAGTGAGGAGCTCCGTCAACAACACAGAATACCAGACCAAGCAGGTTCAGGAGATGGTGCCAGAACTATGAACCACATATTAAGGAATATTTAGAAGGCTGGAAGGCGTACAGCTAGAGGAATTTGTTGCAGAAGCAAGAAATCCATTGCTTTCTAATTCAAGATGCGCAGCTGCTCCTGGAGCCACCATATTGGGTGGGACCAAGAGGAGGAAGGATCAGAGCAGCCATGGATGCCTGACAGAACCACCAAGATAAAGGTGTGGACACTTTTTTTTTGTATCTGTACATTGGTCTCTTGCTATCTGCGTAGCTCCACTCTGGTGACTAAAAGGGGTGCCTGAGCAAGTGGACACCTCCCCACCCCCACTCCCAGAGGGTTCTACTATGCATGTGCACAGAGCTCTTCAAAATTTAAAGTGACAGTTTCCACTTAAAAACAAACAGCAGGTGGAGCACAGGGCAGGAATTAGAAACAGGATAGTTTGGGTGCTGGGAGGAGGGAGAGAGGAATGGAAGAACAAAGCAGATGGGAAAACAATTAGGCAGTTTGGATAGGCTAAGTGGGACAGAGGTAAATAATGATATATGCACAACCTTGGAACACAGGGTTCTGGGATACAGAGATTGAGACATGGTTGGAATGGGAAAGGAGGGGAATAATGTTAAGATACTTGGCTGTCTTTTGAATCTTGGTTTTCCTTGCATTATAATATAAAATAGACATTGGAGGGGGAGAGAAAGGAATAGCCAGAAACATCACCATAGAAAGCTTGTAAGTCCGTCTTCTGCCTATAAATGATTGGAATACCTAAAATGGGGCCACAATGTACTCAGTGAAGGAGGCTTCCTGTGGAGCCTCTGCAATACATAAGACTATAGGTAGAAGCCTGACCCACATCCAGATCTCCAGAGATGGGAAATTTCC